TCATGGTACCCGGGGATCTTTGCTGTGCGTTTCAGCCTAGAGCTTTTTCCCTCGGCGTTCCCTCACTGTTGAGTATTACCTACGGCATCGTGAGAATTTTGGCGGCCAAATTATTAACTAGGGAATCACGGAAAGATATTCACCTTTCAAGGTTTCGAATTCAGCTTTCATGCGGTGATGCGTGAAATTTTCAACTATTTTCCAATTGTTGAACTATTTTTGCATAACAAAAGTACAAAGCAGTGAAAATCACTAATAGTCAATCGTTCAATGGGCTGAATTGCACAAAACGCATGATCGCACCGGCTAGTCTGGTGCGCGTTGCTATTTATTTTTTTTTTTCTTTCTCGCAGGTCCCATACTTTGAGAACTTTTAAAATTCGGCTTGGTGCGGCGGATTGGAAGGCTGCGTCCAGTGGTTACGGTATGCCCCTCGAATGCTTGGATAGGGGTAAAGTAGGTGGGGAGGGGGTAGGTCGGGGTGGCGATTTACGTTTCGGAGTCATAACAGGAGAGAGGGTGGGGGAAAGGTTTTTGACTGCAAAGGGTTTGAGGCCTTACTCGAAGTTGGGTAGGAGGGGGGGATGGGTAAAGGTGGAGGAGGGGAGGAACGGAAGCTGTAAAATTCTAGCTTATATGGGTCTGTGATATTCAGCTTGGGACTTGATGCTGGGGAAAAGTTACAAGTTTTGAACGGAACATCTATAAAACCTCGGCTGGACAAGAACCCGAGTGCCTTTCGCTGCCTGAGCCCAAAAACGAGAAGGCATTGAGCAGCCGAGCCGAGTTTTAGTAGTTGCTCATATTTAAGACGTGAATTTTTTTTGGGGGTCCTGACGTAAAAATGCGGGAACGGTTGATAATGCGGGAATTTGGCCAACTGATCCACCCGTAATTTTACTATTTTCACATATTGTTATGTTCTTGAATTCGTTTTGATGGGTTGTTTCGTCGTTGTCGCATTCCTTCTCGCCATTATTAATACAAGGCGCCAGGCAGCCTCTGCATCCTCGTCTATTTCAGGTCGCTGTTGAAGAAATGTATGGTATTCAACTGAATACGTGGCGATGTATCGAAATTATTTGTTTAATTTCATCGGGCGACAACGACTCTGAAATCTCAAGAAGCAACGTATTGTGCTCCCGGCTGAAAAGAGCATGAAATATGCGGCGAAGATATGGCCGCTCGTCGCCCTTCCTTAAAGCAGTGGATGCGAAATGACGTGAAAGCAGAAAACTGGAGAACAAGAATTTTCCAAGTGGATCAGTTTCGACGAAAGCGAAATAATATTTCGAAGTTCCTATTTCCCCGTGCTCAACAAGTAGCAGTCAAACAACTCCACAGGCCAACTGCCGTGGAAGGAGGTGGGCTGAATCGGATTCCGGGCAGAGGAAAGCTACCCGAAGCAATGGCAAAGAAAGCGACACGCAAGAATGATTGAAAAAAATTGTTATGAATTCATCGCACGGGGACGGAGCAGCAGGGGATTGGCAGTGACCAAAAAGACAACGCAGTGTGCCGATCGTGAAATTCGACAAGATCTGAATGGGTGTTTTCCGCGCAGGTTACGTTGGAGCTGCGGAATGGTGATCCTTAGATCACTGTA